ATGTTTTTGTTTTCAGGAAGAAAAGTATTTTAGTTGGTTTACTTTAAAAAAAAAAAAAAAAAAAAACTTTCATACATTAAAAAAAGGGAATAGTGTGAGACTGAGAAAAATTATTTTTCTCCCTCTTAATAGTCGTGAATTGGACTAGAGCCATTTATTGAAGACACTGTTCTTTCATTTTTCTGCAGTGTCCTTTTTTTTCCTATAAGTTAAACAAAGGTGTATGTGTTGGTCAGTTTCTTCACTCTCTTTGCGAGTTCATTGATCAGATTTCCTTATTGCTCATTTCCGTAGCTTTGAGATTAGCTTTGCTTTCCATTTGGATTGTTCCTTTATATTCCCACGTAAACTTCAGATTTGGTTTGTCCAGTTTCTCACACACGCATGCACACACACGCGCACTCGTGGGATGTAGACTGAGGCGGCTCAAAATTTATAAACTAGTATCAGTCAAAAAGAAAACCTAAAATCATTGATTACTTGAATTTATACCATGCTCCCATCTGTGTAGTTCCTCTTTCATGCTTCTTTTTCATTTAATTATTAGTAAAAATGTATATATTTAAGGTGCACAGCGGGATGATTAGATGTGTAATCATTTACATAGTGAAATGACTCGGACAGCCCAGCTACAGAGTTGCCGTTTTGTGTGTGTGACGCAAGCGCCCGAAAGCTCTCTCTACAAGTTTCCGGTATTCGTATTATTAAGTGTAGTCCCACTGTTCCGGAGATCTCCAGACTTATTTACCCTGTATAAGTGCAACTTTGTCCCTGCTGACCAGTTTCTCCCCATTCCCCACCCCTGGCCACCACCGTTCTACTCTCTGCTTCAAAGTATTCAACTGTTTCAGACCCACATGCAAGTGAGATCATGCAATCTTTTTTTTTTTTTTTTTTGATTTTTAAAATATTTATTTGTCAGAGAGAGAGCAAGAGCAGGGTGGAGGGGCAGAGGGAGAGGGAGAAGCAGGCTCCCCGCTGGGCAGGGAGCCTGATGGAGGACTCGGTTGCAGGACCCTGGGATCATGACCTGAGCCAAAGGCAGATGCTTAACCGACTGAGCCACCCAGGCATCCAGAGATCATGCAGTCTTTTTTGAGAAAGCTTTGCCGTTGTTTCTTTGGGGCCAAGACACCAAACAAAAAAACCTACTTTCTATAGAAAGGGGCTTTGAAAATCAGTGACAGACTCCAAACCCCTCATTGTCTTTGGACGGACTGAAGACCAAAGGATAACAATGTGCTGTCTCAAGGTCATATGTCTCAAGGTCAGAAGCAGGCCTGACAACCCTCCTGGTCTGCCTGACAACCCTCCTGGTCTGCCTGGCACTGGAAAACTTGTGGGACGCAGGACTTTCAGTCGTAAAATCTGGACAGTCTTGGGAAGGCTGGGATGGGTGGGTCGCCCTGCAAGTTGGAGAGGCCTTGTCTTTGTTTGGCCAAGGCTCATTTTTGTCTGTGTTCATGCACGATTACGGGGTCGTCTTGTTTCTGCCTCACTGCTTGGTGGTCGCAGAGCAGCCTTGTCTGAGGTGCGTACGCTGTGAAATTGCAGGTGTCCCACAGGAGAGCACAGGGGTCTGGCTCTCCCTTCCCATCTGTGAGCCCCTTCCTGGGCCACAACAGCTGGGATTCCTCTGTCCACTTCACACCCGGGGAACGTGACTCTCAGGGAGGCCCCAGAGCCAATCCACGGTGTGGCTGGGACGACCTCCACACACCCAGACCCTGAGTCTCCATCTGCGGCCCAGATTCTGGAGGGAGGGAGCGATCCCCTCAGCCAAACTTTTCCTCCGATAGCTCTGAGAGATCCGTAAGGATTGTTTTTCCAATATCCTAGTCTAAGCTTTGCTAACAAGCATCCCCAGGTGGTGCCCAGGAGCCTCCAGAGACCGCAGGGGTGTAGTTGGGTGCAGAGATTACTTAAATTACTCACCTCTCTCTGCTTCTTCAGTTCTCCTCCGCCTCGGCTCCACCCGTCCCCACCGGGCTTTCTGGAAACTCTGTGAGAGACTGAAGAAAAAGATACAGACAGAGGGAGATCAGACGTTCTTATTCTCAGGGATCCTGCTTGGGAACGTGCTGGGGATCAAGATGTTGTACACAGGCTCCTTGGAATGATCTTCTTGTTCTCCCCAAAGTGTGAGAGCAGCCCGATTCCTGTTTGTGTGTGGCCTCTTCATGGAAGGAAGGGGTGAAGTTCCCGGATTAGACTCTGCTGGAACCACGTGTGTGGCTGGGTATGGGAGAAGCGTGGGAAGAGGATGCTTAACCTGATACAGCTTCATCTGTCCATCCATCCTTCCATCTGTCTTTCCTTCCTTCCACCCTTCCATCTACCCACCCACCCATCTGTCCCTCCATCCACCCACCCATCCGTCCATCTTTCCATCCATCCGTCCTATTCCCCCTGCCTCCTGGCCATGCTAATCAGGTCCCTTTTCCTCCCAGCACTCTCCCGTCATTTCCTTAGGAAGCATTTTTATCCCCTCATTAGGACAGGGTCCCTTCCCTTCATGTCAGAAACTCAAATTCCTACAAGCGCTAGGCAGGTACTATAGTGTTCCTAACTGCTCCTTTGTCCTAGTTTCAGACATGTCCTCTCTCATCACCTTCAAATGACAGTTCAATTTGGGTGTCTGGTCAAAGGAGGAGATAAAGGTATAAATGTATTTTCTTTCCCATTAAAAAAAAAAAAAATGGTACCTACTGTTCTCTCCTTCGCTGACATGTACCCAAGTGTTCCCATATAATTCCTGCCTCCACCAAACTCACTTCCACATTTTTAGTTTAACAATATATTAGAAATCTGTCTATCTATCTATCTATTTAGATACCTATTAGATAGATAGATAGATATCAGTATACATAGTTTCCTTATTCGTTTCACTTCTGCACAGTGTTCTTGCCATGGATGGGCCACAATTTCTTTACCCAGTCCCGTATTTCTAGACATTGCGATAGTTTTCCATCATCTGGAATACAACTTGGCATTTATGTTTTTAAACATGAATTTAAGGGGCGCCTGCCTAGCTCAGTTGGAAGAGCATATGACTCTTGATCTCAGGGTGGTGAGTTCAAGCCCCACATTAGGTGTAGAGATGACTTAAGTAAATGAATAAATAAAATTTTAAAAAATGTTAAAAATCTGTTTGAAAATAATCCCATTGATCTCAGTTTGCACATGTGATCCGTTGGCAGGATAAACTCCTAGAATTGCCGAACTTGGAAAAGGACACATGCAGATACAGTTTTTCAGGGAAGGGAGTGTGGTGGGAACAGAGCAAGGTCTTAGCACTGAACGCACTAGTGTTACTTTTCAAATTTTTCTTTAGTCTATCAAATCCTGGGAGCTCAGGCCTTGTTTTTTTTGTTGTTGTTTTTTCGTCCCCCACTGTAACTTCATTGCCTGGGATCAAGTCTGGACTAGGTAGAAGCTGCTCAGAAGTACTTGTTGAATGAATGAATAAATGCATTGAAGAAACAATGAGTGAATCCATCCTTATAAGGGGATTCATGAGTCAATGACTCGGTAATGAATGAATGAATGAAAGAGCCCACTAACCAATATGTAAAAGAATCAGTGAAGGAATGATCTAATCTCTTCCACGATCCACCAGTCTACAAATCCACCAATCCACCAATCAATGGCTGTATAATTGGATGGGTCCGTGAGTGCTTCTGAATGGTGGAATGTATTAAGCAAACATTCTTCAGCAAGGGCCACAGCAATGCAGGGGTAAAGGGGTCATCACATGAATGTTGGTGACTTGAAAGAGCCCAACTTTATTTATTAAAAGCTGCTGGTTTCTGAACAACCTCTCAAGACTATCCACGTTTTCCCACCCAGCCGGAGTTTCGGAAGGGGCATGGACGGCCGGAACAACACAGGGGAGATCTACTTCGTCCTGCTCGGGTTCTCCCAGTACTTGCGGGCTCAGACCGTCTTCTTCTGCTTGCTCCTCCTATCCTACGTCATCACCCTTTTCGGGAACTGCCTCATCCTGCGCCTGATCTGCTATGATCCCCGGCTCCACACGCCCATGTACTTCTTCCTCAGCAACCTGTCCTTCCTGGATGTGGGCTACACCACATCCAGCGTGCCCCAGATCCTCATCAACTGCTTGGTGACCGTTCCTGCCATCTCGCTAGGACAGTGCTTGGCCCAGATGGCCGTGGGCTGTATCTGGGTGTCGTGGAGTGTCTCCTGCTGGCTGCCATAGCCTATGATCGCTGTGTGGCCATCGTGGACCCCCTGCGCCACTCCGTGTGTACGGGGCCCCGGCTTTGCAGCCTGTTGGCCGGGACCTCGTGGACGGCGGCGTTCCTGCTGACCATGGTCCCTGCTGACCATGCCCTTGGAGTTCTGCGGCCGCCAGATCATCATTCACTTCTTGTGCGAGCTCCTGGCCCTGCTCAAGCTGACCTGCTCTGACCTGCAGTTCTATGAGCCGCTCATGGTGGGCACCAGTGCCCTGGCTCTGCTGGTTCCCTTTGCCTTCATCGTGGCCTCCTATGGAAGGATCCTGGTGGCCATGCTGCGGATGTGCTCCACAGAGGGCCACGGCAAGGCCTTTTCCACGTGTGGGTCTCACCTCACGGTGGTGGCGTTCTTCTATGGCACGGCCATCTCCATGTACATGATGCCTCAGGACAAGATCGTCCGTGACCGAGACAAGATCGTCTCCATGTCCTACGGCGTCCTCACCCTCATGATGAACCCCCTCATCTACAGCCTGCGGAACAAGGACATGAAAGGCGCCTTCAGGAGGCTCTTGGGGAAAAAGGCTGACTCCCAAGATGCGGGGCTGAGGAGGGGGGAAATAAATTGATACTCTGGATTGCCTACTCTGGGCTGTAAAGTGTGAGTTACTTCTTTGCCACCGTTCTACGGAGGATGTATCTCACACAGACACACACACACACACACACACACACGGACTCCTATTTTAAAAAAGTATTTCCTCTGAGGAAGTCAAGCAAGAGCCAATTCTCCGTGTGTGTGTGAGTGTGAATGAGTGTGTATGAGATGCGGACACGAAAGAGACTGTCCCAGACGTTCTCGATGGCTGAAGGGGAGGAGGGATGGATCCACGTCGACCGACTCTCGACGCTGGTTCGGGACCCGGTGGCCAGCCCCCAGCCAGAGGTGTGTCTAGCCGCTTCTGCTGCCTCGGGAGCCCCTCCAGGAAGCTGCACCCCGTGGGCGCACTGCAGAGGCGTGGGGCTGCTGTCTCAGTGACCCCTGCATGGCCGTACCTTCCCGCCGGGGCCGCGTCTTTCTGCCCAGCACTGCGAAAGTCTGGGATTGTACCTACTCAGCACCTCGTGTGTTAAATAGATGCTGGAAAAGACATGGGGCTTCTGGGTCGGGGACAGAGCGTCAGGACTCACGGCTGAAGGTGTACTTTGTGTTCGTTCTGTTCTCCGCGTGCTCCGAGTCCCACGGGGAGGCGAGCAAGGGGCTCATGGCGGATGGCTGCCCGGCGCGGGCTGTGCTTCGGGGCAGGGATGCTGGGTTTGGAGGGTTTACTCTCGTTACAGGGTTTCTCACAGCAAACACAGCCCTGACAGGTGGCCGGGTGGAGGAGGGTCGTTGGGTTGGCACTTCCGTCATGCCCGGTAGGAAATCTGCGTGGATACTTGGGACCCGGTGATGACTGCTTCCCGCCCCCCACCCCCACCCTCCGGTCCGCCCCAGCCTGGGCCCGTGTGGCCAGAGGGGAGCACGGAAGCACAGAGAGTGACACTGAGTAGCACCAAGACCCAACACTAGGCTGTACATACTCGAGTAAGTTAAGAGCTGCCGCCGGAGGGTCTGGCTTCTCAATCTGGCCCCGTTAAAAGACTCCAGATAAGGGGTGCCTGGGGGGCACAGTCAGTTGAGAATCTGACAGTTGATCTCAGCTCAGTGTGGTAATTTAGAAATACAGTTATCTGTCCTAGAAAAGATCTCTCTTAAAGAGCTATGCATAAGCTCTTACCAAACACAGCCTTAATTTCTAATGTATCTGTGGAATAACTTTATGGACACCATAGGTCGTCCTCCTGTGTTTCTCGTGCTCTCCTGCAATATTCATGGACTGACCTCACGAATTGGTGCTGGTCCAAATAACTATTTTATATTCATCTCTTCAACCCTTGCTTACTAAACTTCACAGAGATAGTCAATGGTTCCCCCGTGAGGTATTATTATTATTATTTTAGATTTTATTTATTATTTACTTGACAGGGAGAGAGAGAGCACAAGCAGGGGGGGCATCAGGTAGTGGGAGAGGCAGGCTTCCTGCTGAGCAGAGAGCCCGATGTGGGGCTCAATCCCAGGACCCCGGGATCATGACCTCAGCCGAAGGCAGATGCTTAACCAACTGAGCCACCCAGGTGCCCCTCCATGAGGGACCAATTAACTTGTCATTTTATTAAAAAAAACCAACAAATTTCTAACTTCAAAACCTCTACATGCATTTATCACAATCATTTGAAGATCTTTAAAATCTCCTTTTTATTTATTTTTCCATTTTCAAGATATGCTTTTATTTACATGCATTTTTTAAAGTTTTTATTTAAATTCTAGTTAGTTAGCATGTGGTATAATATTGGTTTCAAAAATCTCCTTTTTAATCTTTTGAGGTTTTCTCTCTAACCTTGCCAAATACAGTATTACTAAATCTCTACAGTAATTAATTTTAAACAAATTTGCTTTTTAATCACTATATTGTACACCTGAAACTAATGTAACACTGTGTTAACTCTACTGGAATTAAAATTTTTTAAAAATTGCTTTTTAAAATATACCACTACCTCTCCCATTAACATAAGGATCAATGATCATGGTCTTAAGGTAACAGTAAAGATTTCTTTTAAGTAAGTTGTACCTGATATCTTTGTGAACATTTAATTTTTTCTTAGTTGGAGGCAGGGTGAGGGATTGGTGACTCTGTGATCATTTATATCAGGTTGATTCTGATCCGCATCCTTCCTTCAAATAAATGAATTAAACTTATTAAGCCTTTTTAATTTTTTTTTTTTAAAGAATTTATTTATTTGAGATAGAATGAGAGAGAGAGAGAGCACATGAGATGGGGGAGGGTCAGAGGGAGAAGCAGACTCCCCGCCGAGCAGGGAGCCCGATGCGGGACTCGATCCCGGGACTCCAGGATCATGACCTGAGCTGAAGGCAGTTGCTTAACCAACTGAGCCACCCAGGCGCCCTTTAATTTTTTTAAGATATGGATGTTGTGTCATACACGTACAATTTAGTAAGAAACTAAATGACTGTCGGGCACTTTTTAATTAGAGATCTGGCATTCACAGGTTGAAAACTGTCAGATGTTGTTTTGAGATCGTATCTTCCAATGTTAGTTTGAAAAGAAAATAAAGCTGGTATTTTAGCATTTTGAAGAAACAGCTTATCAGGAATTTTGACATACAGGTAGATCTGAAAATCTATCTAGGCCATGTTTAAGATAAACGAAGTAACTCTAAATGAAAAGCAGTATAGGGATTTGGCTCATCATTGTATCTCCTGCACCTAACCCCAAATCCAGCCCATGACGTGTACACACGAGATATATTTGTTGAATAAAGAGAAGAGCACACATGACTACAGACATGCACGTCGACTTTATATAATTCTTCTCTTTCTCTTTTTAAAAAGATTTTATTTTTAAGTAATCTGTACACCCAGCGTGGGGCTTGACCCACTGAGCCAGCCAGATGCCCCATAATTCTTCTCTTTCTACAAAGTTGTAGCAAGCACCTCCAGCCGGCTTCCACATTATTTTCAGCAGATCTGGCCACACTTCCGTAGAGACTCGAAATGTCTCATTGGTCCTCACTCAGCAATTTCAACTTTCACACTAGAGACAGCCCAACAGACCCGTCCCCGGTAGGGATGGGAACTCATTCTCCATCGAAACAATGATCTGCGAGTACAGTGCTTTATAACACTGTTTATACATTCTTCAAATCGTTTGTGGGTTCGGTACAGTAATTGTCTGCATCGTACAACTGAGGAAACTGAGGCACAGAGTCCACGTCCTTACTCTATGATGGGGCAATCAACTGCAGAGACCTCCACCCTCAGCCACGATCCTCCATTCTTCCAACACATACATCTGGGCACCTCTTCAATGCCAGGCTCTGGGGTCAGCCCTGGGATGTGGTCAGCTGGGAGCAAGGCCAGCAAGATTCCCGGGACTGTTGGAGGCTGGGTGCCCTGCAGAGACTTCCTGGGAGTGGTCTTCCCTCGGGGAGGTCAGACTTCTCATCTGTTCTGGGCCCGCCCCATGCTTGCCCATTCCAGGACGGAGGCCAGAGGGCTGCCTCTGCTTCCCACTGCCCCGGACACCAGCACTGAACTGAGGAGGAGAAGGGGGGAAGGTTGGTGAAAGACGAGGGGAGAGAAGAGCAGGCCCACAAGGGAAAGAATCCAGCAGAGGGGAGGTGGCGAAAGACTGCTGGAGGCAGGGAGAGGGGAGAGGAGAATTCTAGGGAGCCAGGAGGGGTCGGGACAGAGGGAAAGACAAGGGAGAAGAGAGAAAATCAGGTGCACGAAAACCCTGCAGCTAATCGCGGTCTTCAGCTTGGGCACACCCATTCTCTCGGTGCCTCTGGCCTTCATCCTCGCGCCCCACACCTTCGTTCTGGTGGCCGTGGGCTAGCTGCCTTCTGCTAAGAGCCGCCTCACGGCACTGCCCACCTGCAGCTTCCACCTGGCCCTGGCGGCTCTTTCATATGGCGCGGTGACCACCATGTCCCTGTGCCCTGCCCCTGGCTCCAGCACCTCCCTGCCCAGCACCACAAGCTATGGCATCCTCACTTTGGTCCTGAACCCACTCATCAACAGCCTTCAAAACCGCGAGGTCCAAGCTGCAGCCCACTACGCCCTTGCCTGGCTCTGGGGGGTCGGGCACTGTGCTCGGCTGACCTGGAGGGGTTGGAAACAGAGCTGGGGACACTTAGCTCTGGGATCTTGCACACCTCACTCCCTCTCTCTGACCTTCTGTGCACCTTTTGGTGCATTCTCTCTCTACCAATTTCCGTGCATGGGTCAGAGGTCCTACCACATTTTCTAAAAAGGGCCAGATAGTAAATATTTTCAGCTTTGCCAGCTCCGTGCTCTCTGTTGTAACTGCTCAGCTCTGCCAACGTAGCCTGAAGGCAGCCACAGATAATACATGAATGAGGGACAGACTGTGCCCCCCAAATCTTTTACTGAGATTTGAATTATATATAATGCTCATGTGTCACAAAATATTCTTCTTCTTTCGATATTCTTTCCAACCATTTATTTAATAATGTAAAAACCTTCCTCCTTTCCTCTCTTTCTTTCTTTCTTTCCTTTCTTTCTTCTTTCTTTCTTTCCTTCCTTCTTTCTCTCTCTCTCTCTCTCTTCCTTTCTTTTTTGCTTGAGGGCCATAGGTAATGGGCAAAGAGCCATAGCTTGCCAACCTCTGATACAGGGCAAAAGCCTGACCCAATACAATCGTCAAGAGGGAGTAAATAAGGTATGTCAGGCATGGACTTTCGTGTTTTGTTTTTTGGGTTTTGTTTGTTCGTTTGTTTTTGGATTCCAGTCAAGTGTAAACATTCATTGTCACCCAGGTACAGTAGATAGATAACACTTTATATAGCGTTTGTTTATAAGGACTTCACACATTGTAACTCAAGCTACAGAATATGCTTATCAGGTAGATAGTACTGTGATCCTTACTTTACACACTTAACCTGACAAAGTGGGAGCACAAACGAATTAGGTAACATACAGCCAGTAAGAGATGTGTGATGGTCACATGCAGTCAGTCAGGTCCCAGAGCCATTTACGACAACATGGGTAGACCCAGAGGGCTTTGTGATAAATCAGAGAAGCCAAACAAAGACACATGCCTGTAGGATCTCACTTATCTGTGGACTCTAAAGTTAATGTAGACACGGAGATAGAGATAGAGATACACCGACG